GACCTCTGATATGCCATTAATAATAGAATCAAACTTAAAATCGTTTTTTGACAATTTCTTATGAAGTTATAGGCCATTATATACGACTTAATCTTGACATCACTGGCGAAAAAAGTAACAAAAGATTGTGTAAATGAAGCCGCTTAGGGTATCCGCCGCATACGATCTTTGCTTGCATGCTGTAACCATGGCTGTAACTCTTTTGTTGACAACCGCTGATGCAGTTATAGGCCTATGACTTGATATGCAAGTTACAACCATGGTTACAGCATGCACGCAAAGATCGTATGCGGCAGATACCCTAAGCGGCTTCATTTACACGATATTTTGATTCTATTATTTAATGGCATATCAAAAATCTCCTCTAGAACAAAAAATGATTTTGCTAGTTTTCTTTTAATATTGCATAGACAACAAATTCTTTTTTTGTTAGAGATCGAAATGTCCTGAGCAGGTTCCCCGTTTTGTATAAGCTTTTACAAAAATGAATATTTCTCTCTATATAGTGTATTTACGGCCTCAGAATGTATACAGTACAATTAAACAATATTATCCAATTTATAAATTGTATATTTCATTTATAGATGTTTCAGATTTATGTTCAAACTCTGTACAAGAATGTGTTGAAGGTAATACAAATTGATTTTCTATAATCTATGTTCTGTATTGATTCTAAACACCCCCCCCCCCTTACATCCCATTCACATAGCGTACTAGTCTGGTAATAACAACTTTTTAAATTCTATATACTTCAAAGAATTTCATTTAGCTTTAATATTGTTATATTATAATAAATTGTAATTTTTATTCTATATCCAAGCCTGGTAATAAAAAATTTAAATTATATTTATACTTCAAAGAATTTCATTTAGCTTTAATATTGTATAGATGAAAAATTCTTTTTTTGTTGGAGATCGAAATGTCCTGAATATAGATTTTGCAAAAAAGAAATGGTCATCTATATATTTATACTATTTATAGCCCCAAAATGCATATTCTGTAGTCAACAATATTGTCAAGATTATAAATGATGTATTTTATTTATAGATGTTGCAAATGTATCTCCAAACTCTGTAGAAGAATTTGTTGAAGGTAATGACATTCTATAATCTATATTGATCCTCTGTCTCTTATACACATCTAGATGTGTATAAGAGACAGGAACTTGCTTGTTTAGGTCTGGATTCTCAATTTTTTGTGTAGTGCTTCTTTGATTGCTGAAACTATGTGTTGGCTGTCTTGATAATGTGAATATCATGGTTGTTCTAGATCAATGCTCTTGTGTATATTTTACTTGCTTTGTTATCAATACAAATAAAATGGTGTGTTTATATTTATAATTTGTTTATGATCAATTTAAAGGTATTGTTGAAACACATGTACGTAAGCGCATAAGACGTTCTTCTGACTCTGAAGGTAGGTGCAAAACCAATCTACTTTAAGTACAATTTAATACATTTTTTTTCAAATTTAAGCTATATGCACTATATTTCATAACATGGTTGTTCTGGGTCAATGCCATTGGGTTTATTTTACAATATTGCTCTGTTATTCAGTGTTAATACCATACAATTAAAAGAGCGTATGCTTATATTATCATTTTTTATGTTTGATTTAAAGGCACTGGTAAAAAACGTGTATGTAAGCGCAAAATAATTTCTTCAGACTGTGAAGGTAGGTCTTGTACATTAAATTAATGATAGTAATTTGATTTTTTTGGGAGATGAAAAACTCTCTAAATTTAGATTAGCATTTTATGCTGCAGCCCTATTAACTGCCATTAACTTTCTACTACATTTAAGATGTATGCCACCATATGTTATATGCCTGTGGTTGTTGTGGGTCAATGCCATTGGCATCTATTTGCATGTTGTGTTGTGAATACAATTAAAATGCTAGTTTTTTATATTGTTTTATCTCCTACTCAAAGGCATTGTTGACAATTCCAGAAGACATTCTGACTCTGCAGGTATTGGAAAAATCAGTTTTCTATCAAAAGTTGTTAGTTTGCTATAGTAGTAGGTTCACATATACAATGAGCAGTACCTGTTAAAATGACTAGGTATGTTGTGAAACCATAAATACTGTTTAATTTTGTTTCAGAAGCAAAGTTATAACTATAAATTCAAACTTCAAACTAATTTTATAAATATTAATAAAATTTTACTATAAAATTTGTACCATCACAATTTAAAAATTTTAAATACTAGTTTAAAAGTGAAAAAAAACATACTTATTATATGGATAAAATTAATTTATTCCCATGTATTTATGCAAATTTGGTTTAATACAGTATAATATTGTATCTAATTACATTTCAATGTATTCAGTTCATTCAGAGAGATAAAAACAAAATATTACAAAAGCTCAGAAACATTAAAATGTACATAGAACAATATCAACTGAATGAACTGAGGAATATACCCAAAAAGTTTACAAGTCAACTTATTTTCATTGAGGTCCTCAAGATAGAAAAATAACATTGCAAATTTTACTAAAACTACTAAAATAAAAGCTCACCAATTCAATTTGGGGCACTCCACATTCAACATGTTCCCATTCTGAAAATTCACCATTATATTTAACTCTCTGTCTACGGTCACATAAGAAATCAATCAACCAAAGGTGGAGTTTCAAATCTGGTGCCTATAGTGAGATTAATTTATTAATAGCAATAGTATGACATATACTGTATTATCAAATGCCTTAAATAGTCAGTGTTTATGGTCCCAATAGAATTACTAGTGTCACAGCCTTTGTGAATGGTGTCCAACATTTTAACCATAGAATGGCAAATGTTCCACTAAGGCAGGCAAACTGGTAAGGGTAAATATTAGGATGAATATCTGATAACATACATTCACTAATAAATTCTTCTGCAATTTTTGCTATAGTAACTGGACTATAAGAGATGGGGGCCTTAAATTATCAATAACTGCAGGTGCTCCCTTTGGGAGTGCAATACTGTGGTTGCATTTTTCCACTGTTCAGCATTCCTATCCGATCCCTAAAAAAATGAATCCTCTCAGTTTTCGCTTTTTCAATGACTTTTTGTCCAAGTACTGCAATTTCCACCTGGTTGATTTTCCTTCAGTGTTAAAGACTTTTGACATAATGCAACCACTTTCTTATAAGCACCATTTACCCAAGGTTTGATTATTTTGGTTGGAAAGTAGGTGTTTAGGGCTTTCATATAGACTTGAATAGAAGGCATTAGTTTTGGCAGTCATTCAAAGACCTCTGACCAGTCATGATGGGTTATCCAGTTAACAAAATTCTGTATTTCATGTGGGGGACTGTTTTTATCTTGATTTTATTTATGGATCTGGGAATAGCTTGTGGAGACCACATGACACATTCATGGTTGCAGTTACAATTGCACTATGAATTACAGGTACACTGTAGTAACTGTAAAGGTCAGTAAAACTAGGTCAAGAATCGCATTACCATGAATACTTCATGTTGACAACTTGTTTAAGACAATGTGATTTAACATTTACTATGTGATTTTAAATGGTTTTTTTTTAGCTCTAAATTAGTGTTATTTGAAAAGGTTAGACAAATGAAATTAATTTCAGCAATAGCAGAGAGATTGAGTAAAAGAGCATGCTAAAAAACCTGCTAGTGTTGAATTAGCTATTAGTCCATTGAATCTACAACAAAATATAGCTCAACTCGAAACAAATTGCAGTAGTAATGAAAATAATTGTATTCAACTCTGAATGTATTGAGGAACAAATTAAAAAATCTAGAAATATCCATTTCCGTCAAATGTGACCAAAAATAGCAATTCAAGATGGAACATCGTAACAATGTCTAAAATATGAATATTGAATATTGTATTAAAGATTATATAATTTAAAATTTCCTGTGTGATTAAGTGTAGAAGTTAATATCTTTAAACTACCAATTGCAATTGAATTACGTCTATGTTATTCCTAGTTATGCATGATGTCCTTATTATGGTCTACACTTCTTGCTCATCTGTCTTACACTTTTTTATGCTTTACTGTATACCTTTATATTATTGTCTACACTTCTTACTCATATATGTTACACTCATTTATGCCTTATATTACATAATCTTAGATATCCCATTTTCTTGACTTTATGTCCTGAATTAGTTCGCTGTATTGCTTCACAAGATCGTTGATTCACTTAAGCTTGCATTTGTTCATTTGTATTGATTTTGGTTTAAGTTGAAGTTGTTTTTGCTGTCCGTTTTGTGTGTTATTCTCTGGTCGGCAACCCATTTTTTGAAGGTCGTCAGGTCATATCTGGGTCAAAAAAAAAATTCTCAGGTGTTAAAATATGTACTTAAAAAATCGGAAAATTCCAATCAAATTATTGGAAAAACAATATGTGTATACATTCAGGGAACGCAAACCAAAGCATGAAATGATAACCTTAATAGAGTTTTTGGTATGTTTTTGTACAACAATGACATACATTTCAATTTTATTGACCTTATAGAATGAGTTACAGAGAAGTAATTTATAACAATAATTTGCAATGCAAAATTTGTTTATAATATATAATCATTAAAAGCAAACACAACAACAATTATAGTTCCCAATATTATTACCTGATGCAATGTTTAATGACCAAATATCCTTTGATACAGGCCTAGTGATTGTAAATTAGTGTAATAATATTCTACACATTTTTAGCATCCAACTAGAAAGGTTGAAGTTTGCATAGAAAAACTACACTTATAACATTTTCTTTGAAGATGTAGATAGAATATTAGTGCATAGCCTGTTTATTGACAATCCACCACTGATTATTAACACTCTGACCGCCAGCGGTTTGAATAAATATTATCAGCCGCCGCCAGACATTTTAGAAATTTTAACACTTTTCCGAAGCTCGTTGAGAGTGTGTATGTGAGCAGATTGGCATGTAGTGAACACTACAAGAACTACAAACATGTTAGCTTTACAATGGTACCAAACATTTTATTCTAATCACAATCAGTAACAGTAAAATGAAAATGACTCACTTTTGGAGATTTACGCAATTTTGCACAACGAAGCTGAGATAATAGCGATTACGTGAAAGTAAATAAATACCGCACAACGCTAATGTAAACAAACAAATAGCGAACTACTTACGGTCCAGACTGAATATAGTGTTCAAATTGTCAGTACATGTTGGTAATTACCCCATCTATCGGATTCCGTACAAAATCATGAAACATGGAGATCTCCGTGTTTGGCGGTCGAGCATTGCGTTAGCAAACACAGAGATCTCCGTGTTTGGCGGCCAGAGTGTTAAAGGTAAATGATATGTTGTATGGTCAATAAAGTTAATGTATAATTCAGATATACTTATTATCATTTTGTCTTCTTTTAAAGATATTGCTCTGAGATTAATTCACAGTGTGAATCTGCAATGCAGAGAAAATTATGAATTTAATTTGGTAAAGCTCCTTGAAAAGCCGAGAGACTCTCTGAATTCTACTGATAAAGAACAACTTCTTGAGATAATAAAGAATCTTAAAAACTATTGTTCAAGCCTTGGTTTGGATTTGAACAAATTAATCAACAACTGTATAGTATTTTGCCTCTCTGCATATGATTCTATTGGTTTGCTGAGTCTCTGGAAAATGCATATAAGCAGAAAACTCATTGAAGATTTAGCAGACATATTAGTGCCACAAGAACATCAGCAGCTGTTTTTAGATGAATGGATTACATACATTGATGAAAACGAATACAAAGGTGCTCTCATGAAGCTGATGGAGAAAGGTAAGACAATCTTAATGAATTTTAAATCATTGTAATTTTGAAATTCCATTCTCCTTTTTAAGAATGGCAAAGCTATGAAGGAAACAGCAAAAATGGAAATTTTCAAGGTTATACAGTCATACTGTATTTAACCCTCCACTGAAATTCTTCACCTTTTTTGCAGGCCTACCAATAAAATCCTGATTATTTTCATTTTGCATCATCTTCATCCATGTACTGTAGTACTGTACCATTGTCTACTGCATCTTTGCACTGGTAGCAAATTATGCAGTACACCAGGAGAGAATTCCCTGTTTTTTCCCTCAGAGAATATACATGAGTCCCTTTACTGGACCATAATAAAACACAGAACCAACCGCTCAAAACACCTCATCCAAAAGATGATGCAGTATTGTAACTTTCATTTTAGCCCTGCTAAAACGAGGAATGCAGTGATGCAATTGAACGATGGACCACAGATCAGTGGCCCCCCCTCGCCACTGCCAAAGATCTCTACAGTTTAACTCACACCCAGCTACAGGCTACCAACAGAATGATAATGACGAATAATTATAGTGATTCATATACCACATATTACACAGACTGCCTCTATGCACCTTTTCATAGTCGGGGACATCGTATCAATTGGACCTCCCCCACTTTTCACCAATCTTCTATAGTTAAAACCTCAATTTTCAAAACAAGTAGAAAGAACAATTATGAATGACTGTCATAAGGTTTGTCTGTTTTTTGTGCTCTTTTCCAATAGTGGTGCATATCCAGACCAAAAAGGAGTAAAAACACATTTTTTGTACATTTCGTGACCATTTCAGTAACCACTCCATTGATTTTATGGGTGCAACAGTTATCAGTGTAAACAATGTACTGTACGATGTAAAAATTGGAAGCGTGTAAACCTATGACCAACATTTTTATGAACTCGAAAGTGCACAATTCCTACTATAAACGATATATTCTTTTTGTATTATCAAAACCCGTATATTGTTAATATTATTTGCATTCATAGATTCCTGTTTTTTTCAAAAAGTTCAAAAAAATTATAGTAAGGCAACTGAATTTTTTATGGCCGTTATTAAACAATAATTATACAGCTGTTGGCACAGATTACAGTAGGTCAGTTTTGACTTACTTGTAATGATACCCCACACGTTTACGAACTCCGATGTTAATGTTATGTTGACATAATTTTGCCATGATGTCATGATATGTTTGTGAAATAAAAATGCTAACTAATGTTTTGTGTGCTTTCTATTTCTCTAGTCCTGTTTGATCAAATGTTAGATGGTAGTACAGTTTAACTTGCCTAAATCGACTTTGCCTATTAATCAAATAATTTCCAAACTTATTTTACATGCAAAATTGTTGAGTTTTTCATTAATTAACAATCTATAAGTTAAATTTTATCTAAGTCAAACAATTTTTCGATGGCATTTTCAAGGGGGCCCTTCTGGCCCACCTTTTCTAATATTTTCAAAATATAAAAGTGGAGAAAAAAGAAAATTATATTCAAATTTTAAGTCTGAGAGTGCCATTTCCGAACAAAAAGAAGTGTCATAATTATAAAGATTCAATAAGATTCAAGATTCATTTTATTCGGCATCTAAAAACAATATGAAATTATCTTCTTGGTATGGGTTAACACATTGATAAGACATATGAATATATAAATACAAGAAAAACGTCAAAAGTGCTTGACTATATTCCAATTAAGTATTTACAGTGTGCCTAGAAAACCTATTATTAAGTAGCTGTATTGCCATTGGCAGAAAAGCACCTTTAATTTGTTCTATTTTTTTTTTTTTTCAATATAACCTCTTCACAAATTGTTTTTATATCCTTTATTTCCAATCTAATTATCTTTCTTGCTGTCTTAGTAAGTCTTGTTAATTGCTGCGAAGCAGCCAATTCATATTCTTGACAGCAATTTGACCTCTGAAAGGTCATTGTTTGTCAAAAAACAATCGCCTAAGACAACTGAAAAGCGGAGTTTCCTTCTTTCGTTCTGCCGGGTAAAATCAATTATTTAGGCGACGTTTGTAGACTAACCAACTCGTACCAGCGTCAGCATGTCGCGACGCTGGAGTACTATTCAGCCTTTTTACTATATTTCTAGGTTTCCTATTTCTACGTTTAATCGGCTCATGTCTCAGCCACAATATTTTGAGGCCAACATTATTTACGAACCCAGTTAAACTTATTTACTAGCCTATTTCAACGTGTTATTTTATTACATTTAGGCGACGCTTGTTGTAGACTGGCATAGTGTTTTCGGAAATAAATACCATTTTATACACATGCGCAGATCAATTCGCCAGCAGCGAGTCATCGCCAGCAGCAGCGAGTCGCCAGCAGAGAGATGTCACTGCAGCAAAACACTATTGTACACGGTACCAACGCTGTTCTAATATAGACAATGGGTCGTGCTCATATTATTTGTTATATTTTTATTATTCATTATTTTCACTTGTCTCGCATAAATAATTTTGTTCGAAGAACATTTTATGCAGTTGTACTTCGCAGCACTTCACTTGCAATTTGCAAGATTTTTCTTAGGTTATCCATTTAGCCGGACCACAAAAAAAAAGTAATTACTGACTGAATTACACTTTCATAGAACGAATACAGTGAGTCTATACCTACATTAAAACATTTGAGCTTCCTTAAACGGTAATGACGTTGATTAACTTTTGCACAAACTTTACTAGGGTGTTCATCCCAACTTAATATATCATCTACCCATACACCAACATATTTATATATATATATCTGTTCTATTTATGACCTGGTTATTCTTAACATAGTAGAGTCATTTTCATGAGATCCGTGACTAATTTTAGGATACCTTTTTTTCCCGATGAATTTGACAAGATGGACCAATTTAGATAAAATATAGCTGCTATATACCTCCCAGATATTGGGGAAAGTCCCGTTTGGGGGCGTTTTTCAAAATGGCCGCCTGTTGATTTGGACGCTTGTATCTCCATAACCACTAGTCAGAGAGACTTGATTTTGGTCTCAAATTGTTCACAATATGCATGTTTCTATTTGTTGTAATACAACTTGTTATCACAAAATGGCGGGAAATGCGATTTTTAAAGTTTGACCTTTGACCTTGCACAGTCATATCTCAGTAACTATTGGTCACAGAGACTCACAATTGATTGCAAACTGTTCAGGAGATTCATGTTTATGTTTCTCTTAATGAAAAAAATATTCAAATAGTGACCAGAAACGGTACATTCTGACCTCTGACCTATTGTAGGGTCATTCCATGTCAAATCAACCAGATTTTAAAAAGAAAATCCTGTATGACTGTCTCAGATTTTCATGAAACTCCACAAAAATGATCCACTATATGCTAAACCAACAAAAAAAAAATTAGCCTTATAGGACATATAGTTTCCGAGATATTGACTCAAAAAAGGGGCTTGGTTCTTCAAGATGTGCAAACGCAATTTACTTCAACTTTGGAAGCTTATAACTCGAGATTGGTAGCTATCAGGGTCAAACTTGGTATTCTAACTTATTTTTCGCCATATTTCACAAATATGGCCTTAGTTATTGCCAGTTATCCCTTCCCTTTTGAAGTTATCTGCACTCAAAGTAGCAGCTTTGTTTAACGATGCAAATTGTTTTGTGATTTTTGAGGTCACCCTGCGCGCGTCCATTTGAGTGGGTATATACCCCTCATATTACAGATATATTATCTAAGTGTAGTTGTCTCTAGCCACATGCAAGTGCAGGCTGATCAACTCAATTAAAATTGAATGGCATGTCAAATTTGGGACCAGATTTATAAAAGTGAAAAACGCCTATGTTTCTCAACAACGGATCGTCATGTGGGCATTTAAAATCTTTTCTTAAATTTACCCCAGTAATCAGATATATTAGATCTACCTATAAACCAAATTTCAGCTTTGGTACTCAGCTCCTTCATGGTTAGATACTATGTGCACTTGTAGAAGTGGTTGGCGCATCGGTTGTGGTTTGGACTCCCAACCTCGAGGTCGGGGGTTCAAAACTCTCGCTGTGCAAGTCGCTTGTGTCCTTGGGCAAGGCACTTTATCTACATTTGTCTCTCTCAACCCAGGAGTAAAAGTGGGTGCCTGGTAGGTTCAAACACAGCCTGTGCTGAATACAGCTGCAACATTATGGAATTCCCCTATGGGGCCTGAGTGTGTGTTCCATATGTGCTTGATCCAGTGATCCGGGGTAATAATGTTCAGCGCATAGAGAAGTTTGATATGCGCTATATAAGTATACAATAATAATAATAATAATGTTGAAAACTACACAATAACATAATCGGAAATCACGAAAGTTTTTAAGAGTTGGGTCATTCTATGCCAACTCAACAAATGCATTACACCAGAGTCATAGATTTTTAATTTTTTTTTTTTTTTTGGACACTGTCTCAGTGATATAGATATCTATGTGAACTAAAAAACCTGAAATTTTGAGACTCGCCAATTCATTCGTTTTCCTGTAGCGGCAGTTTGAGATTAAGGGAAAATGAACGAATTGGCGAGTCTCAAAATTTCAGGTTCACATAGATATTTATATCACTGAGTCAGTGTGGCAAAAAATTAAAAAGAAATCTATGACCCATGGTGTAATGCATTTGTTTGTTTGGCATGGAATGACCCAACTCTTAAAAATGTTTGTGATTTCCTATTACGTTGAAATATGTGTAGTTTTCAACATAGTATCTAGCCATGAGCTAAGTACCAAAGCTAAAATTTGGTTTATAGGTACATCTAATGTATCTGATTAACTGGGGTAAATTTAAGAAAAGATTTTAACTTTCCACAAGACGATCCGTTGTTGAGAAACATTGGCGTTTTATAGCTATTACCAATCTCGAGTTATAAGCTTCCAAAGTTGAAGTAAATTGCGTTTGCACATCTTGAGGAACCACGCCCCATATTTTTGAGGAGTCAATATCTCGAAAACTACATCCTATGAGGCTAATTTTTTTTGTTGGTTTAGCATGCAGTGGATCATTTTTATGGAGTTTCCTCAAAATCTGAGACGGTCATACAGGAATTTCTTTTTAGTCTGGTTGATTTGACATGGAATGACCCTACAATAGGTCAAAGGTCAGAATGTATCGTTTCCGGTCACTATTTGAATATTTTTTTTCATTAGGATGA